GGCGGTACCCCCGCCGCCCCGGAGCTTGAGGCGGAATGCGCTTTGTGCCCTAAACCGCCCTAAAACGCGACCTACGGCCGCCGAGGGCGCGGGCTGCCTGTGACTTTTGCCTCGTTGGTGTCATTTAATGACCGGCCCGACGTGTGTTGTACTGGTGGGCAGCATTCAAGTGAAATCGAGAGGCTGGGAGACGGCTTGTGGTGTGCATCGTATCTTGTGACTAAACATACGAAATTTTGGGGGATTTACTAGCTCTTGGCTGGGTCTGTGCTACCAGAAGTTTATTAGTACATCAGAAAATGACAAAATGACAACAGTACTTTCCTCTCAGAGTTGGGCCGGCAGAGCGAGCAGCTTCATGACACCAGCTGTGTCTCCCTCCTGCTGCACTGCAGTGCTGCCGCTGCTGAGCAGATCCAACTTAAAACAAGTTTCTGATAAAACTTAGAAAGCACATGCTCGCTGTCGACAGAACTACTGGGACTGGCAGCTGGCCCCCCAGCCTGTCTCTGGAACCAGGCTGCTGCAGCACTGCTGGGAGCTCTGACAGACTGCACACCAGATAAGCAAGTTTTGACCCTTGTTAACTTCTCAATACTTCCTAGTTTTGCTTTTTGGAGGATTCACACAGGTTGCTCACCAGCATTTAAATGTAAAGGTAGGTAGGAAGGAAGCTATAATAGCAATTTCCACTGATGTGTTTTTTTCCTGAACATAAAAGTTTTTCCAGAAGTTAATAAAAATCAGCATCTTGATTTTACCCTGTAGTTAGGCACCTCCCCTTTGACTCTTGTTGACCTGGCACATCACCACCTTAAATGCGAATGCATCACTGATGGCAGCGATACTGATTTGTCCAAAGTCTGGGAGATTGTAACAGAAGTAACTGCATGGTGCATTCCATATAACCAAATACAGAGAAACAAGTCCAAATGCAAGACAGCATTGTGGCAAATGTGGCAGCAGGGAAAGCAAACCAGTAGCATGGGAAGTGAAAGACCAGAACAAAATAACAATAATTGAGAATCAGAACTAACATTGGAAAGATTCATTTCATATTCATAAAGAATTTTAAAAAGTAACTGAAACAGATAGAGGGTTGAAGAAATATTTGGCCAAGGTTTTTTTTGTTTTCTGTATTTTATTTCCTAACCATGGTGACAATGTAATAAAATGTCAACAGGGCCCTGACTAAAGTGATGATGTCTTAACAGATGTACAAAAGAAATTTAGTTATGGTTAAAGAAATTTTAGCACATACCCACATGCTCAGCTTTTCTTTTAACACACTGATGAGTTTTAAGTAAGTGAATATTGAGAGGTGTTAAAATCCATACCTCCCTCAGGAAAAAAAAAAGACTGGGAAGAAGGAAGGTAAGAAAAATTACTTCTTTAGAAAAACTGTATTGATACTTTATCAGCTGTATGCAATGTGATCCTCCTTGAGATTCTTTTGTAGAGTATAATTGCATAGAACAGATTATTTTACCTATCAACTGGGGAAGTCTGATAAGGACACATTAGCATAGACCTGACTCAGCTTCTCTTTCTGTAGGCTAACTCTGGTTTGGGCATCCATCAGTTTTCCCTTTTGTCTGATGAACTTCACTTCTAACTTATGCTAATGTTAACATACTCTTCCTCTACTTGATTATATTTAAATTTCTTTAACATAGCAAACAGGTTTAAAGAAATCCAGTGTATTTTACATGTTAACTTTTTCCATTATTGTGGCAACTTCATGATCAGTGACTTACTGGTATAATGTCGGCAGTATCTTCCAACAGATGTTAGATTACATCTGTGTAGCTTGGTCCTAAAGTAAACTGGTGAGGAAGGAGAAAAAAAAAAAAAAAACAAAACCAAAAAGATAAAGGGGTAAGCGCGTGGAAGGGTAGAGGAGAAAAAGGGAAGGCGACTGGGCAGACTTAGCAAGTTTCTTAAAACACAAGGCATAAATCTTACTTAAGGCACAAACTTTTGTTACATAATTTCCTTCTAGAGAAGGTTGAATTTGGTTGCTAATGACACTTCAAGGGTGTCATACTGTGGCCTTAAAAGAATGTCACTTAGGTTAAAGAAGTAATCCTTTTGGGAAGTTAAAAGCGGTGTCTGAGAAAAGACAAATCACAGCTAATAAAATCACTATCAGACAAAAGAGAAGGTGTTGCAAGCAAAATGTTCTTCCGTCTCTGAAACTCATTAAGGCTCGTAAAACACATTTCTTTAAACCAGTAAACTTGGATATTCTTTCTCAACACCAGTGTAAGGATGAAAAGTATTCCTTTCAAGCAACCCAACATTATAGCCGAGAAAATCTTTTTTTACTGTCAGGTTGAATTTGAAGCCTACACCTAGTCTGAACAGAAGGCTTAACTTTAATACTAAATAGCTGAAAATGAAGCGTTTTGCTTGCTTGATAATAGGATCAAGTGTTTCACCTGTACTTGGTATTGTATAAGACAATACCTCTGTATCTGTCTATAGGTTGTTGGTGGCAGTTGTGAAAGACAGAAAATAGGTCATTTGACTACTTTGATTCATCACGATATGAGATAGTTTATTCTTCCTCTGCTAAACAAGGGGAAAACTTTTCTTAGGAGGTAGTACTAACTCCACTGACTCGTGCTTTTGCGCTATCAATTAGATGAGATACTCATTACATTTTTCATCCATTTGTTACAATGAACATTCAGATTCAAAAAGAAGCAAATAAAACACTAGAGAGTAACTTTATAGAAAGATGCATATATATGCATGTAGTTCTAGTCAGTACATAACTGCAGCCGTAATGTACATACATTCATTTGAGTATTGATACATGTGTAAATCTTGTAGTTAGTGCAAATGCCCATATTTTACCTTGGATTTACTACTGGAAAAAACCAGTTCCCATAACCATACAAGGTGGTCCTAACTGAAAGTAACAACAGAGCTAAATCAGAAGAAAGTTATAGGTGCCGATACTTCAGTGACGAGTACATCTCTGATGTGACACTTACAATTTCTAGCCCACTCACTTCTTTGATGGCTCCAGACAATTCCTACACCATTCACAAAAATACATTCCATAAGTGATGGAAGTGATACATATGCTTCATGAGTGGCTGAAATATCTGTTTTCATAAAGTTTCTGTATTAGTGAAATAACAGCCTTCTATGATTCCTGGGGGGGGGAGGAACCAACTAGTTTTTTTCCTTTATTAGGAAAACTTTATCTTCTTAAATGTTTCCCATACCTTAAATAGTGCTTTCCTCTTTATATAGGTTGAGATTAAATAATCAGTATACTTTATGCATAACACATTTCAAAAATAATATGAATCCTGAACATTCATTTTTTAATAAAGTGCAAAGATGAAAGATTAAATTTCTCTCACATAAAAATAGCAAATAATATAATTTAAAAAAAAAAAAAAGATGAATCCAGTTACATGGTGTTAATGCATCTTTTTCTTGGCTTTGCGCTTCTTGTATTTTTGGTCACGCGCTCTTTTTCTCATTTTGTCATCCTCAATACTAGTGTCACTGTCACAACTTTGCTGTTCTCTCTTTCTTTTAGAGGTGCTTTCCTCCACCTGGTGCACTTCACAGTCACTTGAATGTGGCAGGGCCAATTCAAAAGAACTCTGTGCAGCCTTAAAATTTGCAGCTTGATTCTGGCAGGGAGAAAAGGATAAACTTGAAGGCAGTGGCGGAGTCATCTGATAGTAAGGAAATGGTTGACCCATTGGACTCTGTAATGTGTACTGCTGTGCTAAAAAATGGTTCATCTAGAGAAACAGAAACTTGAGTTGTTAACACTGTAAAGATGAAGTTCTGAGGAGTTTAATTTTGCATGCATTACGGCTTATACAGTGAAAATACCGATAAATTATAAAATAACGTAACACAGAATGTTTGAGAATAAAGCTTATATGTTTTATTGTATCAACTAGTATAGTTGGAAAAAGCAGACAATTTTTCCGTGGCAAAGTTAGAGCAGAGATGTAATCTGATTTAAGATAAAACTGTCAGTTAGTCCTTGTGTAAGGTAATCAGACATATTCCTGTCATTTCTTCATCTATGTGTTTTATAAACGCTTGTAACTGCAGTGCCTATTTTTAATGTAAAGACATGCACATCTGCAATTTTTTTAACCTGGTTTAACTAATTTTAAATGACCGTGGAACAAGGTGTTCCACCCAGGTATAGTCCATAGACTAAAGCACTCAGACAACACAGTAAGTGCCCAGCTTACTGCTACAGTCCCTAACCGACAGGGCTCAGAGGGTTCTGATAGGCAGGGCAGAGTCTAGTTGGAGGCCGGTAGCTAACGGAGTTCCCCAGGGCTCGGTACTCGGCCCAGTCTTGTTCAACTTGTTCATCAATGACCTGGACGAGGGGACAGAGCGTACCCTCAGCAAGTTTGCTGATGACACAAAACTGGGAGGAGTGGCTGATATGCCGGAAGGCTGCGCTGCCATTCAGTGGGACCTGGACAGGCTGGGGAGTTGGGCGGAGAGGAACATGATGAAATTCAACAAGGGCAAGCGTTGAGCGCTGCACCTGGAGAGGTTGAACCCCACACACCAGTACAGGCTGGGGGCTGACCTGCTGGAAAACAGCTCTGCCGAGAGGGACCTGGCAGTCCTGGTGGATGACAAGCTGACCATGAGCCAGCAGTGTGCCCTTGTTGCCAAGAAGGCCAATGGTATCCTGGGGTGTATTAAGAGGAGTGTGGCCAGCAGGTTGAGGGAGGTTAT